AGAACGCGGGCAGCCGCGGGAGGACCGCGGCGGCGGGCACAGAGGGAGCCGAGGCGGAGGCCCCAGAGACCGGCAGGCGGCGGCGCCGGGAAAAGAAGGGCACGACCCGGGGCCGGCGACCGCCACGCGGCAGGGCGCCGGCAGGCGGGCGCCCAGGGCGGAAAAGGCCCCACGGCGGCCGCCCGGAGGAGGCGGGGCCGGGCGCAGGCCCAGGGGGCGGAGCAGCCGCGCGGACCAGCGACGGAGCAGCGCCGGGGAAGCGAGGGCCGCACCAACGAGCGAAGCAGACGCGAGCCCCGCCGCGGGCGGAGGCCGCCGGGGGCGCCGCAGCCGACGGGGAGGAGCAGCCGGGCCAGCGGGGGGCCCCGCCCAAGGGCAGGGGCGGACGCGGGACGCACCCGGCCGCCACGGGAAACACCGGGGCCCGGGGGCCCGGCCGACGGGCAGGGGGAAGCAGGCCGCCAGCGGGCAGCCGGAGCCAGGAGCGAACGCGCCAGGAGAGGCAGAGGGCAGGACGGAGAGCGCCGGGGCGGAGACAAAGCGGAGGCGGAAGGGCGGGCAGGCCAAGGCAGAACGGGAGCCAGGCGCGGCAGAGGCGCCCGGAGGGCGCGCCCAGAAAGAGAGGCAGCCCGGCCCCCGCACGGCAAGCCCACGAGCCGCGGAGCCAGGCGCAGGGAACGACGGCGGGGGAGCAAAGCCAACGAGAAAAACGCACAGGGGGCGGAGGGAGAAGCAGGCGCGAACGGAGGACGGCCACCACGGCAAGGGGACACGCGACCGCGGAGGGAGAGCCCGGCCCCGCCCCAGCGAGAAAGAGAACGGACGAAGCCGAAGGCAAAGGGGCGAGAAACGCAACGCCACGAGGCGGGAACAACGGGGAGCCGGGCCGGCGGGCGCACGAGGACGGAGAGGAAAAGAAGGGGCAAAAGCGGAGGCAAGGGGCAACGGCCCCGAGCGGAAAGAGGAGGGACGACCGAGGCCGAAGGAACGGGAGGGACAGCGCGGGCCAGGCAAGAGGGCGGAGGCGGGGCCACGCCCCGGGGAGACCCCGAAAAAGGGACAAAGGCCGGGCGGAGGAACACAGACAAGAGGCGGCACGACAAAAAGGAGAAGGGGAACCCGACCAGGAACGACGGCAGGGAGGAAGGCAGAGGAAGAGAAAGACAGGGCCGACCGAGACAGAAGGGGAACGGGCGAGCCGCGGGCCGAGCAGGCAAAGAGGGACCGCCGGGGAAAGGAGGAGGCAGGCGGAGCGACAGGAGAGGCCAACGACAGGGCCAGAAGCCAGGGGGAGAGGGAAAGAGGGGGACCGCCGGGCGGCGCGCAGGGGACACGCCGCGGCCCGCCGAGCCCCGGGCGCCGCGGGCCACAGAGACAAAAGGGAGGACGGGGCCAACAGGGCAGCACGGAAGAAAGGACGCACGAAGGCGGGAGCACGAACGAAGACGAAGCGAAGAGAAGAGGCGAAGAGAGCGAAGAGAAGAGAAAAGACGAAGAGAAGAGAAAAGAACGGGCGGGCGGGAGACGGCCCCGGGGCCGGGCGACCGCGGGCGGACGCAAGCGAGCGGAGGAGAGAGAGAGCCCGGCAACAGAGGGCAGCGAAAGGAGCGCGGAGACCCACCAAAGGACGAAAGCCAGGAGCGGGCAGAAAACGGAGGCCGAGGCAAAGAGGGCAGAACCGCAGGGAGAAGCGCACACGAACCCGGCAAGGGGGGAGCCAAAGGAGAGAGGGGCCGGGGGAGGGAGCGGAAGGAGGGGAAGGGAAGAAGAGCGAGGCAGACAGAAGAAAAGGGCGCGAGGGAGGCAAACACGGGACCGAGGGGAGAGGGAGCGAGGAAGGGGAAAAACCGAAGAGGCACAGGGACGGGAGCAAGCGGAGGAGGCGGACCGGGCGGGCAAGGAGAAAAGGGGGCAAAGGCGACAGGAGCAAACCGAGGGGACGGAAGGAAGGAGAGAAAAAAAAGAGAGGGAAAAGAGGCAGAGAAAGAAAGAGGAAGGAGAAGAACCCAGAGGCCAAAGGAACAAAGGCAAACGGGAAAAGGAGCGGCCGGAGGCGGGAAGAAGGAGGGGCAAAGGGAGGAGCAAGAAAGAGCGGGGGCGGCGGAGAGAGAAGAGCGGGAGGGGAGCCGCAGAGGGGGGGAAAGAGAAGAAGCGGAGCCGGGGAGAAGAAGCAAAAAGGGACAGGGGGCAAGGGGAACAGGAAAACGGGACGAAAGGGGGCCGAGGGACGCGCGGGGCGGAGGGGAAGAAGGGGGGGAGGCGCGAACGCGGAAAAGGAGCCAAGGAAGGCGAAAGAAGGAACGAGGAGCCGGAGGAGGGGAAAAGCGCAGGGACGGGGCGGGAGAGGGCAGGAAGGGGACGGAGCGGGCAACGGGCCACGAGCACCCCAAAAAAACCAAACGCGGCCGGACGGAAAGGGCCAGAGGACGAGGAACCGCGGGAGGGGAAAGCACGGCGGAGAGACCCGGAGGGCCAGAAGGCACAAGAACAGGCGGGAGGCGGAGGAAGAGGGGGAAGGGGAAGGAGGACCCGGGGGGAGAGAGCACAGGGGCGAGGAACCCGAGAGGCGGGCGGAGGAAAGGAGCGGCAACAAGGGCGGCGAGGGCGGGGGAGAGGCGGAGCCAAGACGGGAGCAGGGAGGAGGCCAGGGGAAGCGCGAGAAACAGGGAAGGGGAGGGCGAACCCAAGAACGAAAGGGCGGAAGGGGACGGGAGCAGGCGACCAGGAGACAAAAGAGCGGCGGGCGAAAGAGAGGCGAGGCGGAACGCGGAGAGGGCCAAGGGGCAAGAGGGAAAGAAGGGCAGAGGGGGCCCGGACGGGGCCGGGGCAACAAACAAGGCGAAAGACCGCGACGGGGGAGAACAGGGCCGAGGCAAAGAGCAAGGAGGCGAAGCACGGCGGGACACGAGGCGGAAACCCAAGGACGCAAGCGGAGGAGAGGGAAAAGACAGGAGGCCAAGCCGAGCAGGAAAGGGAGGGAAACGGAGACGCAAGGGAAAGGGAGGAAACAGAAGGCCAGACGCGAGCGCAGAGAGACAGAGAGAAGGCGGCGGAAAGCCGGAGGCGAGGAAAGGCGGAGGACGGCGGGAGGGAGAGCGGGCAGAGCGGGCGAGAGCCACCCGACAAGAGGGGGAAAAAAGCCAAAAGAAGGGAGGGGAGCCCGGAGAAAAAGAAAACGGAGGCGGGAACCCCGGGCACGCGCAGGGCACGGCGAGGGACGGCAGAAAAAAAAACAGCAAAAGCCGAGCCAAGGAGCGGAAGCGAGAGGGAACAGGGGGGGAACCGGAGGCGGAAACACGGAAAAAAAGCAGGGCGGAGCAAAGGAGCGAGCGAGCCGGGAAAAAGAGGCAACAAAAGACAGAAACAAAGCCACGAGCCGGGGACGGCAAGCAAGACGGGGAGGAACGCCCGAGAGAACAGGAAAAGCAAGACGGGAGGGGGAGCGACGCAGCAAGGGCCCAGGGAAAGAGGAGCCACACAAGGAAAAGCACGGGCCAGGCGGGGGGAGGAGCGGCAGCCCGAAAACGGCCGGGGCGAAAGAGGGCGGGCAAAGGAAGGGCCGAAGGAGGGGAGGCGGCCAAAGGGAGGGGCGAGGCCAGACGCAAAAAGGAAGAGACGCAGAGAAGGGCAGAGGCAAAGAGAGCGGGGGCACAGGGGCGGAAGCCAGGAACAGGAGCGAGACAGCGCGAGCGGAAAAGAAGCAAGAGAAAAAGAAAGAAGCGGAAGGAGCGAGAGAGGGCGCGAAACAAACGAAAAGGAAACGAAAGAGGAAACAGAAAGCAGGGAGCAACGAAGCCCGCGCGGGGACGGCGAAAGAGGAACCGCAGGGAAAGACCAGGGAAGAAGGGGGAGCCGAGGCAGGGAGAGGCCGGAACGAGGCCAAAAAGGGAAAGGGCGACACAAGGGGGAGGGGGGGGGAAAGGGGAAGCAGGGACGAAGGCAGGAGCGGGCAGGGACAGAAGGAAAACGGCAGGCGCGAGGCGACGAGAAGGGGAGGAAAGCCGGCAGGGCGGCGCGGCGAGGGAAGGGGGAGGGCCCAGAAGGGAGCCGAAGGGGGGCCGAAGGCGGCGGCGGAGGAGCGAGGCAACCGCGGAGCAAAAAGAGAGACCGGGGGAGAGGGCAGCGCGGCAACAAGGGGAGGAAGGAGCAGAACGGCCCGAGGGGCCGAGGGAGAGAAGAACCGAGGAGGAGCGGGGCGGGAAAGGGCCAAACGAACAAGGGCAACGAAAGCGGGCAAGGGCGGAGGGACGAGGGGCAACGCGAGGGAGGCCGCGAGCCGGAGAGGACAGGGAAGGGACAGAAAGGGCGAGAACAGAGGGCGCGGAGGCGGAGGAACAGCGACGCGAGGGGGAAGGGGGAGGCGGGGCGAACGAGGGAAGAACGAGCGGGGGAGCCCCAGAAGGGGGCAGGGGAGGCGCCGACCGAGGAGCGGGAGAGACCAAGAAAGAGGGACGGGCGAAGGAGGCGACGAGGAAAGAGGACGCAGGGGGGGGGCAAGCGCGGCGAGGCGGGGGCAGGGGGCGCGGGGCGAGAGGGGGCAGCCGGGGGAGAGAGGGAGCGGCAAGAAAGAGGAAACGGGCGGAGCAAGACACAAAGGGAGAACGCCCCAGGAAGGGCAAGGGCGCGCAGAGGCAGGACCGGAGGAAGGGGGGCAAGCGGGCCCCAGCCCCGGCGCAGCAAGGGACGCCGGACGGAGACGAAGGAGGGCGGGGCGGGCGAGAAAGGCCGACCGCGCGAGCGAGCGCGGAGAGGGGGGAGGGGCAAAACGCCAGGGACAGGCAGAAGAGAAAGGCGAGCCCCACGCGGACCAAGACAGAACGGGGACGGGGCAAAGAACAAGGAAGGGGAAGCAGGGGCAGGAACGACGAAGCGCGGAGGAGAAACAGAGCCAGGGGCAAGGGCGGGAGGACGGGGAGGGCCGACAAAGGAGCGGACGAAGGACGGAGACAAGACGGGAAGGCGCGAGGGAGAGGCGACAGAGGGGGGCGCAGCCGGCAGAGACGACGAGGGGAAGAAGAGCAGCCGGCGACAAAAGGAGCACCCGAAGAGGAGCAGCGCGGGGCGAGGGAGAACGAAGGAAAGCAGAGGGGGCGAGGCGCAAGCGGGCGGACGGGCGCCGACGAAACCAAGGGCGAAAAGAGGGCAAAAAGCAGGCAGGCACAACCACGGAGGAAGGAGGCCGCGAAAAGGAAGGAGGAGGAAGCCGGGGGAGAAAGCGAAGGGAGGCGGGCGGAGACAGACGCGAGGAAGGGAAGCAAAAAAGAAAGAAAAGGGGGCGGCGGGCGGGAGCACGGAGGAGCCGGGGGAGAGGAAAGGCGCAGGCACGGGGGGAAGGAGAGAAAGAAGGGAGGAAGCCGCGGGGCGACGCGGACGCGCCCACGCCAGGCGGGGCGGGGCGGCGGGGACGGCGAAAGGAGCGGCGGCAGCGGCAGCCACGCGAAGGGGCGAGAGGCCGGGGAGGCGCAGCAAACGAAGGGCAGCGGCGGCGGGAAAGCCGAGCGAGGCGGAGCAGGAGAGGGGGAAAGCGCAGGGCGAGGACGCAAACAAGCAGGAAACGGAGGCGGGCAGAGGCGGCCAGAGGCCAAAGCGGAGAGGGAAGGAGGGAAGAAGGGGGGAGACGCAAAGGAGGGAGAGGCA